ATATAATATAATATAATATAATATAATATAAAAAAATTGCTAAGATACTGTTTTATATTAATGAATGATTCAAGAAATTGTTTTAACATACAAAAAATAACACACTTCTGATCCAATACAGAGAATGAGTCATGGATGAACCTATTAATTATTCCCATCAGTTGATTACAGAAAACCTTTGAGATTTGCAAATCTAGGCTAAAGAGTAGGCAAGTATGATGTGGCATGGAATGAAATAATTAATCAAAACTAATTAAAAACAAAGAAGCTGCTCTACGCCCATGTAGCATCCCTAATGAATGTCACTCACCATAACCTCTGCCGCTACCAGAGTCTGAGTCCTTCATTAACTTGTCTTGGATGAAGAAATGGAGACAAATAAAATATGTGTGGCAAATGCAATAACAGCTAAAACAACAGATAATATGGATATGAAATACACCAACAAGTCTTCACATGAAGTATCACGAAAGCACGGGAAGCATCAATATCTACCAAGCTGATTTGCTGAAGTCCAGCAAGTGCTTGGAGATTGACTACATGAGAAACTGGGGTGATGTATCAAAGAGGGTTTGGGTTATGAGTCCGACTCTCTAACCATTAGGCCACGACTTCCCGATGCACATGACACGACATGTCTGAAATCGATGCTGGTCATGTAAAGAAATGATCATGTTATGCAATCAAACTCTTGAAATTAGTATTTCAACGTACTGCTTTTGACCACAACAGACATGGCAGTTTTCTGAACGATGGTTCGAATGCGTGGGAAGGCAGCAAAGCAGCAGTAATCTCTGCGACTGTCAGTCTCAATGGCATTTGAGAAGTACAGGTTCCCGTTGAGACCCAATGATACTCTTTCGTCCTGCTCGATGTGCTGTAGACCTGTGATGTTTCACAGAAATTGAGAAAAAAACCTAATGAAGCTCAAAACACTTTTAGCTTAGTAAGAGTGATATTACAGTAATAATATGATTACTTTAATGAACATTAATAGATGTGGACAAGGAATAGCTCACCCAAAAATGAAAATTTGCTCACCCTTAGGCCATCCAAAATGTAAATGAATTTGTTTCTTCATCAGAACAGATTTAGAGAAATTTAGAGAAACTCTGCAGTGAATGGGTGCCGTTAGAATGTAAGTCCATCAGTTGATAGAAACATAATCTGCAAGTAATCCATATGACTCCAGTCCACCAGTTAACATCTTGTGAAGCCGTAAACAATGGTTTGATGTTATTGTGGATTATTGTAATGTTTCTATCAGCTGTTTGGACTCTCATTCTGACGGCACCCATTCACTGCAGAGGATCCTTTGGTGAACAAATTATGAAATGCTTAATTTCTCCAAATCTGTTGTGATAAAGAAACAAACTCATATACATCTTGGATGACATGAGGATGAGTAAATTTGAGAGAATTTTCATTTTTGGGTGAACTATTCCTTTAAGTAAGTAATATAATTTGTAACATTTGTTCCACTGTTACACACATTTGTCTGTCCAAAAGTAATAAATTATTTAAATATTATATCATTCAAATAATAAATATTATTTTAATTATTTATTTTTATATTTTTAATAAACAATTAGGTTAATAATATAAAATTATTTATAAACAATTGTTTCCAGATGGGTTATTAAAAACCTGCATACCCGACTGTGCAATATTGATCAGATGATTAGAATATGCCTTAGACTAATTTAACCCAAATAACCTAACTTGAACTTACTTATTGTCATCCAGTAGATTTGCAGTGGGGGGATTCCTTTGGGTGGGTTGCACTCTAGAATGACTGACTGACCTTCCATAACCTCAATCGGATCGATGATCTCTTTAGGGAACTTTGGAATAGCTGCAGAAATTAACAAGCAAAATGAATCAATACATACCATTATATACCATTTCACAAACTAAATTACCACTAGGTGGCAATATAATACAGATTTTCTTCCCTACGGCATTCCTGGAAAAATATTATTTGTTCCAATTTCCCAAATTTAGTCCAAAAATCTGCCACTAACACATCATTCTGCTGCTGAAACTGTACATGCCAACTGAGTGATTGAAAACAAGTCTTGTTTGGTAACTGATGACTGCTCTGGTTCCATTTGTGGAGATTTATGTGGTGTATTTCAGAACACAATAAGAAATATGACGTCGAAAAATGATGGCGAGAGAGGAGAAAACTCATTTTTCATCAGTCCTCTCCACACGGTCCATACACACTGTGATGAAAGAGAGAGAAAAGCTCCAGGGTTTGTAGCGGGCAAGTAAAATGGATATCCCACTAAGGACCAGAGCGGTTGTTTTATTGGACACTGGTCTCTAAATCATTCCGAAAGAGTCGTTACGGAGCATACAGCACAAAGTTATACATTACTTACTCGGAACAATGAATTCAATCTCTTCTGACATTGCTGTTCCTAATTTGTTGCTTGCAAAGCAACGATAATTGCCCTGGAATTCTGTGAGATTCCCATTATTGGGAATGATGAATGTTCCGGAATCATCTAATGTTTTCAATCTGGGGTCCTGATATGGATCAAAGTCTTGACCATTCTTTGTCCACCTGAATCTGAAAAACAGAGATGATCAGTAATTAAATGAAATTACACCACTCAGTGTGCGCCCTTTGAAATATGATGAAAACATCACAAGCATGCAAAGAGGATTTCCACATTCAGGTTTTCAAATGTAAAATGACATCAAATACTCAGACAAGGCTTTGAAATGTGCTTTAAAAAATACCAGTGTCAAGTCAAGTCAAGTGACCTTTATTTATATAGCGCTTTTAACAATACAGATTGTGTCAAAGCAACTGAACAGCATTAATTAGGAAAATAGTGTCAATAATGCAAAATGACAATAGTAAACACAAATTTTTCAGTTAAAGACAGTTCATCATTGAATTCAGTGATGTCAACATCCAGCTCAGTTTAAATAGTATCTTTGCAATCAAGTCAACGGTATCGCTGGAAATGAAGTGTCCCCAACTAAGCAAGCCAGAGGCGACAGTGTGTTTCTGATGTTTTTATTTTTGCGTATATTATGAGCTGTTCTACCCATGATCTACCCTGGTGAATTTCCATGTTGGTTTGGTGCTGATATAGCACAGCTGCACTGTTCACCTGCAAAAATAGCTGGTGATGCTGATCAACCAGCATGGAAGAACTATGAGGATACTCTTGTGGTTGTTCCTGAAGATCGTTTCCTCCATCTCTGGTCTAGTTTTCGATGCAAAACTAGCACCAGCAAGTAATTAGTAGAGGAAGATGAATGGTAACACAACTTCAAGCTGGAGATTAATGTATTACGATTCCATATCATATGATAACAAGTGATTATCTCATTTTTGAATCTGATCTAATTTGAACAGCTTGGAACAATTATTAACTTTTGTAATGAATGTATTATTTATAATCAGATTGAGGCTGGAAAACTGAAGAGTTTTTTTTTTTTAAAGAAAATAACATTTTAAAGAAATTCAAATACAAATTCTGTTCTTTTGAACGTTCTATTCATGAAAGAATCCTTTAGAGATCCTGAAAAAATATGGTTTCCACTAAAATATTAAGCAGCACAACCGTTTTCTTGAGCATTAGATCAGATTATAGAATGATTTCTGAAGGATCATGTGACACTGAAGACTGGAGTAATGACTGTTGAAAATTACATTTTGCCATCAAAGATATATTTTTAGAATATATTAAAAATATAAAACAGTTACTGCAAATTGCAACACAAATTCACAATATTACTGGTTTTACTGCATTTTTTTTTTTATCAAATAAATGCAGCCTTGGAGAGACTTCTTTCAAAAAAAAAAAAAAAAA